AGAGGTTGCTGTTGGAAGCTTGTTTTGTAGGAGGGGTCGTGGTTGCAGTGGCGGTTTGTTGGGTACTTGGAAGTTTCACGGTGGTTGGCGTACTTGTTGAGGTTGTTGCTGTCATTGTGTTGAGTCTGGGTTTCCTTGCCTGTGTTGGTGAAGTTTCTTTTCTGATAGGGTCGGCCTTACCCTTGGACATACTGTTTTCATTGTAATTAGACCTGAAGTTGGAGTTTGCACTCCTGGTTGTTCTGTTCATGTTGTTTGCTTTTTCCAATTCTACTGCGCCACAGGTGAACGGGAAAGAGTTGATTCATATGTCTTTGTTTCATTTTTGCAAGTAACTATTCTACACTATTGATTCTGACTGAGTCACCTTTGATAAGTATACTTCTAAGATCCACTAGTTTGTCTTTGGTGGTCTTGTCTGTGAAGGTGATGGTGGCACATTGCCAAAGGTTTTGGATTTTCATAGTGATGCCCTGGACTTCTCCATATTTGGTGAAGGCTTGTTTGACTTTGATAATTTTGTGTTAAGAGGATGTCCCATACTATGATTGAATTTTCCTTGTTGATCATTTGGTGTCCAGTTTCCATATGTGATAGTCTTATGTTATCCATATCAGGTAGATTGCTAGTAGTGGCATGTTGGGCAGTTTATAGATCACTGAAAATGGCAATAATTTTTATTTCTTCATTTTTTCCTTTAACACGTACTGTTAAGAGACCTTTTGAGGAGTTGAGTGCCATGATAATATGTTCAATTTTTTGATAGGTTGTTTTGCCTTTGACTAGATTGGCTGAGACTCCTATTTTATGTTTTTCTCTGCCATATCTGATTGACCTATCGAAAGAAGGGTTGGGTCTTGGTTTTCCATTGTACAGAGAGATTACTTTGTTTTTCCCTTTCCTTACTGTGAATTATGTGGTTTTTGAGTCTTCCTAGTCTTCTGTGCCTATTTACTTATCTATATTATCTATTCTTACCATCTTACTTCTCGAGGTGTTGGATCCTTCAGCTTGAATTGATTGGTTGTAGGTTTCTTGTCCATCTTCTTGCTTAATTAAGTCACCCTATAAAGAAGATGTTATTGCTTGGCTGTTTGGTTCTGCAAGTTTACTGGTTGGGTTAAGAGCATCTTGCTGTATTGTTGGTTAGGATAATTCAGTTTATTGTTTGTTTGTTGCTTGCTAAGTGATTTGGGACTTGTTGATCTCTAGGTTGGGCTTCTTTGTATATGGCTGGATTTTCTATATAGCATTGTTTTTGCTTATTTTTTTCTCATATCTTATTATACGTTCTATCCTTGTTAGAATATTGGTTGCAGTCTTGGGGTTTCTATTGTGAAAAGACATCTTTCCTTGATATTCTTCCAAAAATTCCAAAAAAGAAAATTTTAAAGTTTGGAATGGTTACAGAAAAGAGTGCTATAATCAATTTCTTTTTGTGTACTATACTTACTAATTAATAGAATAAATAGCTATATAAATATAGTTTTTGAAATTATTACTAGGCTTATCCCAGGGAACACAAATCTACAAATTTAATAATAATAATATGTGAAGTACCATATAATAAGCACCCGAACTAAAAGAGAATATATTAACAAAATTACCTTAAATTTCCAATCAATTAAAGAAAATTAGGAAAATAATATGAAAAACACAACAGAAAATTCTATGTATCAATTTATTCTTCAACAAACATTCCTAAACAAAAATAATGACAAAAACATAGAAATAGTAAGAGAGAAATAGTTACTAATTTGAAAAGTAGTCAGTTTTAACTATCAAAAAATTGTAGAAAATACAAAAGACAAACTTGGTTTAACATGTTTCAACACAAAAATGAAATATAATAGTTATTATAGAAATAAATAGATTTTCAAAACAATCAAAGTACTGGAAAAATACTGAATATTATATAATATGATTACATAATAAATATAAACAATTAAACAAGATTTAATTCTGTTGATATAGAAAGACATTACTATACATCTCCATAGTTACAAAATATGGGAAGACAGACTAATCTGAGTAAATGTGGCCTTCTTAAACAATGAAAAGCCCATATCATAGGTATTTACTTTTCAGCAAAATCAAGATATAAGAAAAGACAAAAAATTCTAAACAGTACAAACAAATAAATACAAGAATTCAATCAACAAGACTGGACTATAATGGTTTTATATGATTCAGATAGTACAATAAATACATAACTAGATAAATTTAGCAATAAAAGATTAGTCACTTTAACAAACCATCAGCCCTCAAATAGAAATTATACTAAACAATAATCTTGAAGATACATTCTGAATCCATATCCTACAAAAGAAGGATATACAAAGAAAAGAGAAAACAGCAAAAGTCGAATTGATCAGATATGGATCAATCAAACCACTACCTGGCAAAGCAGCAAGGTTATAATTGAGAACATGACAAATTCCTTAATATGTAGTGACTGTATCCTCATAGTAACAGAGATCAAAGTCTGGAACCTAAACACAAGAAAAAAGACAATGTATCACAAATCAAATCATAAATACAATTGATATCTTATCAATCAAGAACGATAAACAAAGTTCTTCAGGAAAATTGAAGAATGGTTGACTAAATATCTAATAACTCAAGGATCAATTGACAATAAATGGAATTTTCTTTACAACTATATTCTCAAAGCAGCAAAAAACCACATTCTCAAGAGGAAATATTATACTAAGAAAAAAACACACCTCAATACATATAAAAAGGAAGACCCTCTAATAAAATTACAAAACTAGAAAAACTAAATCAAACAGATCTGTGAAAAGACAATACTAGCTGCAATAATAATACCAGCTTTAATGAAGAACCATTACATTTTTTTCTTTTATTGATTATATTTTTATATTTGCTAATTATAATTTGTGTAAGCTATTAATGATTATTGATAGATTATTTGTTTTATTTTTAACAATATATAAAACAAACAAATAAAAAAAAAACTAAAAGATAGATCTATTCATTTATTATAATTACTTGTTTAAAACTTCGATTTTAATTGAGAATTTGCAAGATTATTTAGAAAAAAAATTTTGTGCGCAAACAGAATATTTTAATAACAAACTGAATCAAAGATTTCTTTTAAAATAGAATGAATTTAATAAAATTAAATATTTTTGTAAATTTAGTCATTAGCATATCTTATAAAGTTACTGCTACTATTGTTATTAAAAAAACATTAATTGATAAAGATAAATGACTTTTATTCTACTATATAAAATAACCTTTTATTAGTCCAGGTTTATTTTATGCCTACTAGATTTAAAATTATTTATTACGTTTTATGCAACATACACGTTTGAAAAACCTTAGGTTAAAAATAAATTTAGGATAATTAAAAGTAAGATTTTAAAATTTGTTAAAAAAAAAAATCTCCTTGACCAATTAATATATACAGTATACTGTATCATTACTTGTAGCTTTAATTATAATATTTTTTAAATAATGAATTATTTATTGAATCAATTTAGTAGCAAAGTCATTGTTAAATATTATTTGATTTATTGTGAATATTGTTAAGGTCTATTAATTATCAATAAATTTCGATTTATGTTTTTTTTTTTTTTTTCGGATAAATTTCCTCAAGCATAGACCCTTTAGGTCGATTAGATTAATGACCTTATTGAGACGGCTCACTTCATTAATGTTTAGCGTCGGAATAATACCTTTTTGAATTCTGGTTCATAATGCTACCCAGCCCAGTGTAGACGACTTAGCCGTATACTCACTTAGGTTTCCATCTCGGACCACCGTTCGCACCGTGGCGCGGCAGCGCGCGATGTAGATCCACCACAATGAACATACTTTGCGAATACTCGGACATCATTTAGCAAGAATTCATAATTTCTCTTATTCTTTGGATCACACTAAATCCGCATGTGACAAGCACACCGAAACAATAATGAAAGTCCTTTCTCTCAAACCTAACAAGTTTAGCTTCGTTGATATAGACATCAACATCCTATTTGAAATACATGGAACCGACTTTCATTCTCCACGTTTGACTGACCCCTCACAAACATGGTCTGGCTTCGCTGTACCTTCGTTTCCACAGCAAGGTCGTAGGATGCGATCTGGTTGTCCATTTCTGTGGCAGGTGTGACCACCACACGGATATTCACCGTGGAGAATACTCTGGCGCCAATGGTCAGCACTGATGCCGAAGGACGACTAGTGTATAGTCCCTCACGCTCTCCATCTTAGTATACTGTGTTCCCTAGGGCCTTGGCTAACCACCTTGATGCCCGTTTACGGACCGGTCGGGGAAATCCAAGATAGTTTCCACAAAACTTGCTCTTTCCCTTAGGGCTTTTTACGTAGTCTTACGCATTCAAAGCCCATACAGGTTTTTCGGTTCGATACACTTCGGACCTGTTAACCTAACCAGGCCAAGGTTGGATCATCTTTCTCAGAAACTGTTGCGGGTACGCCCTAACCGCGATTTACATTAGTTGTAGAGGCACAGAATTGAGATACAAAACTACTTGCAACCAAAAACGTGATCTTTCGCGATTAAATCACTACCCAAGGGGTGGCAGCTTCCTGTCCCAGGAAGGGGCACCTATACTGGGGCGGGCTAATACCAGGTTCCTATAGTGGGCTTTCGAATAGCACAGATCTCGTGACCGCAAATAACGACGTTCTTCACAAGAAAAGCCTTTGCTACTATTCTCCCTTTCATGACTCACTACCCTTTCGGGCTTCTTTAGACTGTATCTTAAGCAACAGGATGGATCCCAGAGCCAAATCTCGAAGAAATGGTTGTCACCACACTCTCACCCACTGCCGTACAGTCGTTGAGCTTTGTCCTTTGGTTGCCTTAGCAGTGAGCCATTATGACTTTAGCGCCGATTTTCCATTCTAGCTTTCGCTATCATCATGTCCTCTAGCCATATGCTTTCGCACCTGTTCTATAAAGCTAAAGTATCATCCAGTACATGATTTATCCTTTGGGTTTTTACCATCCACAGGTCTTTCGGCCTGCTGCTGCGAGACAGGTTTCCCTTTCTCCGCGGTACCATAAGCTTTAGGAGGTTCCGGCTTTAAGGTCAGTGTCGCAAACATAGCGCCTCGACGGTTACTGTGATAGGTATCGACAGTATTTTTCACCATGTCACTAACAATTCGTTTATCAACCTGAATCCATATTTAAACTAATCCGCACGAACGATGAAGGGACGATTACATCCTCAACATTTTCCGTTTTTTAGACTTGGGTGTTCGACTCCCTAAGACACGTTCGATTTGTTTCCCTTGGGCTCCCTGCGAGGTACCAATTAGTTTGGCTAGGAAAAGATCTATCAGCAAAAGAATGCGCACAAAGCACGTTCAGGCTGAAGTGTAGGTTATTTTGGTTTGTCCCTCAATTTAAATGATGGATCTTTCTTTTTGGACTCGTATTTTGCTTGTTTCTCTTTCTTTTTTGTGATGACCATAGTTGCCTTCCACTTTTGGAATGTTTTACATCTTTTTGTCCAGGTTTTGTATAGAAAATTGATTATATCAGTACATATTTGAGTGAGGCAGGTCTTTCTATTCATTCTGTCTGGAATGACAGTTTGGATATGAAAGACCAGTTCTTTGAAAAAGGCATCTCTAATGCTAGCTTTTAAATATTCTTTATATCTTCAGTTCATTTTGTTTATAAATTTGTTTTCAAACTTCTTTCCCTCTTCTTGAGTTGTGTAGCTTTTGACATGTGTTGTTATAATATTAATTAGAACTCTTTGGTTTTGGATCTGAGTGGATTACAGATGAATCGATATGTACTAGTCTCTGGTTGTGGCATTTGAAGCATTTGTTGTATTTGTATAGAGATGAAATTCTAGCATATAATTTGCTTTTAGTTGATAGTTCATCATTCCAGATGCTAAGACAGAATTTTCTGAGTTTTTGGTTTTTCCAGTCAATGTAATAGTTACTTATTTTGGTTGATTGTAATAGGGTAGTGGTTGTCTGTCAGTATATTTCTTTTACTATTCTTTCATTGTAGTTGTATCTTGTTCAATTGAGAAGTCTCCATTTTGCTAGGTGAATTGTTTGAGTGAGCTTTTTTGTGATCATTTTATAGGAATTTCTGTGGAGATGTTGTTCTATTGAGGAACTATATCTAAGGGACCATGTTGTATTCTTAGAATCTCGATCACTTTCTCACCCAGTCTTATTCCTTTTCATCTGTCAATCTGTGTCAGGTGGCTGTTTGTTTATTGTGTTCAATTTCTGAGTATCTTTTTATTTTGCATAGGAATAGTTTTATTTGGTTCTATTTGCATAGGTCTGTTATTGAAGCAAAAAGTTTGAGTTTTTTTGTGTTTTTATAATTTTTCTTGGGTCTTTCTTTTGAGTCTTGAGAATGCCATTAATCGCTACCTGGCTGTCTGTATACAAGGTTACTGAACTGTATTCAGATAGAACACTAAGTACTGTGAGGATCGCTATGATTTCTGCTCTAATGGATAATAAGTGTGTAGTTACTTATTCTTGAAAAGTATGCTTCTTCAAGTCTGAGTAATAATAATTCAACCAAGACCCATATAGTATTTTCTGTTGAAATTGTTTAGAGAGTCATTAGTAAATATCTCAAAGAAGTATAATTTTCTAGTTTTCTCTGATTATTGCTAGTGTTTCTAGGCTTTCTGGAGAGCTACTGAGTAGTTTGTTCAAATGCTTGTAATGTGAATATGTGCTTTTTAGAGTGTGAATTTCAATATTTCTTCCTATTGAGTTGAAGAGGCATGTATATGTTCATAAAGTGTAATAGATAGAAAGTTGGGGAAAATCCTATTTTGCAGATTGTTTCTCTTTCTATATGATGGCTTTTCCTTATTGAAGACTTGCTTTTACAAACTGGTAGCCATGAAGTTGCATTCTCCTATTTGGTACTCCAAGATATTAATTGTATATTCTTTACATATCTCCAATGGAGAGCTTTCTGGATTTTGTATATAGTATCTGTATTTTGTGATGTTTTGATCTATTTTTTGTTGTCTTTTACCAATGGTTGGGATGTTTTCTTTTATTGTATAGATTCAGTGAGGTCTAATTATAGAAAGGTTAGTAGTAGGAAAAAAAACTCTTTCCTGTAAATCATTGATCACAAAATTTTGAAACAAAAGTTAATAAAAATTTCACTAAAAACCAAACAAAAAGGACTTGAAGGGAGTCCCTCCAGGACCCGCGACAATACAGAAGAATACTTCATTCTTAATGTAGTCCTTATTGATAACAAAATACCAAAAGTTTCTATTATTTACAAACAAAATAAAACCTCTCTTGTTTATGCAATGAAACTAGAAGCCTCTATTCAAGTTCCTCCGCTACAACATTGTCCCTCTTCATGGCTTATCCCTATATACAAACTTGATAATAATGATTTGAATCAATGACTAGTTATCATTCAAGTTCTCTTTAAACCAAAATGTTCCTCCAAATTCTCCACTCCTGGTCTAAAAGTGACTGCCAAAATTCTTACAAACTTTGCAACACCTATTTTAAACCAATTTATGGAACACCAAACAAATTTCAATTTATTCAAAAATGACAGAGAAATTGCTGTCAGAAAAGTTGTCAAAGAAACCATGAAATACAAACTCAATTGTCCTTGAAATCAAATCTTTATTTCTACCAATGAATCCTCCAATACTTTTTCTCTCAAAAAAAGGGAAACCCCTATATCCCCTCCCAACACTCCTATTGCATAAGAAGATCATTCTATGGAAACAGACCAGTCAAATAAGAAGATCTGCAATAACTCTAATGCTGCTCAATGCACCCCTGAATCTGATCATCATTATACTGATTCCTTAGTAGACAATAGCCCTAAAAATAGCTCAAATGAAAGCATCAATCAAGATCAATCCCTCCCATCACCCAGCATTAATTCAAATATGGAAATTGATCAATAACAACACAATCCTAATCGACAATCCTGGGTAGATGAAACTGAATATTCTATTAATGAACATGATATTAGAATCTCAAATCTCTCTAAACACAATCAAACAATATCTGAGACCGTTGATTTAATTACTAGTACACCCAGAGATCCCAAAGCCTTAGTCGAATTATATATCAAAATCAAAGATCTTTCAACAATTCCACCACCAAAATCACTATCTGTGATCCTTATCAAATTGTCATATAGAGACAGATCATTCTTCCACTCTTTCATCCAAATGAACGAGATTAAAGGAAATCATCAAAAGGAGTATGAAGCTATTGAAAAAAAGTTTCACAACAACTATATGAATAAACACAATATTGGATATATTAATCAGACCATGAAGAAAAAAATTTGAATCATTCACAATAGATCCATCTTGATCACATTTCTCAGATCGACCAATCTTTCTCTTCTTCGTCACTGGCAGGCAGCTGAATTACTGGAATTTGGCTTTAACTTCTTTATCAATCCTACTATAGAAAAAATTGACTACAAGAAAATCCTGACTCAGACTGAGGAACAAATCAAAAATAAACTTCCGACTCTCCCTACAGATCCCTCTGATATACCTTCAAGAATCAAAATAAAACTCTTCCATCCCTTGCCCTTAAGTAATCCCAGCCTTATAGGTGCTATAGCCAAAGCTCTTAGAAGTTTTTACAATTACGATCTCCTTCCCAACAACTATTTCAAATAACGTCTCAATTTACCTGAAGATCCAAATAAACTTCCAAGTGAATTACAAGGGGAATTTTCTATCAGAGAGAGATCCAAACTCTGAAATCTAAAAAACCTGATTAAGCTACACAGGAAATTATACTACATACTCTCAAAACTTCCAGACTCATACTTTGATCTTCCTCCACCAAAATCTCCACTCCAAAACTCGTATTAACAACTTTCTGAGAATCTAGCAATCATGTTTCCTATCCCAAATGACCCAACACAAATCTGTTATGCAATTACCAACCTCAGACAATATAACTTTGTAGTCTAATTCTTGCCAAATGACTACCTCATCCAAAAACTTCCACTTCCATCACCACACTGGCACAATGAAAACATCAGTATTTCATACCCCATCATAGATCAAGAACAAGTTAACACATTACCCCAACAACTTTTCCCACATTACTCTTATTCCCTTCTACTAAACTTAAAATAGATTGACCCATCACTCAAACAGCTCAACTGACCCCCAATTCCCAATGACTTTTCAGTTATTGAACAAACATTAGGCCTCACCAAAGAACTGCTTAATCAAAATAACCCGACTTTTAATGAACATATCAAAAAAATCAAATCATTATTCTATGGTTCAATTCCTAGAGAGTGAATTACTCCCTATCTTCCAGAACTCCCAAGTATTGAATTAACCACTGAAATCCTAAAGGAAAAGAATATTGAGATGGACCTTCCTATTAAAGACAATGAGAATTTTAACAAAAACTTAACAATTCTTAAAAATCTTTTCTACTTCTGCATCCTTCCTGATAAATTTATAGTAGAATCAGAGTTGCCCAATCCTGAAGCAGCTCTTCTTCCCAAGTTTTATAAATGATTGAATCCACATCTAATAATAGTCACTCTTTAGAAACCCACACTTCATTACCCCCTTACAAACACCCTTCTAACAATTTATCATCTTCTCACAAACCAAGCCCCCAACATCCACTTATACATTTAACACCCAAGTCACCAAAAATAAAAAAAAATCTTCTTATGATTTCTGTTCTAAACATCCAAGGATTGAATCAATCAGAAAAACTACAATGTCTAATTTCATCAATAGATAATTCCATGAATATTCATATTCTTACTGAAACAAAACATACACTACAAAAATCTCTACCTCAAAAACTTTACAATTACACAATTATAACCAGTATACCCACTGACTCCCTTAGCAATGAAACAGGGCTACTTATTTCTAAAAATCTATCATGTCACATTTTAAAAATACATGTTGAAAATGAATTCTGGTGTGCAATCCACCTAAAGTTCGAAACCAAAATAGATGTCATCATCGTAGCCCTATACTTAACACACGACAATGACCTTAGAAACAAAGCTATATCTTCTTTCAACAATTTACTATTTTTATACCCAGAAGCTGAATTTA